AACTCCAGAGATGGGGTCGTTACTAATTTTTTTAAATATATTACATAATACTTTTAAAAAAGTAATATATTACACTACTTCGTTACTATCTACATAAGGTAACTCGTTACTTTACTCGCCGAGCACGTGCGAACTTGCGCATGCCTGAGTGGCAATAACTTTCCTTACCAGCAGGCGGCGGTAGTGTGTATTTGTCATTCAAAACAGGCAACAACCGGAAGACAGAGAAGAAGAACAGATTACGTGATATAAACAAACAACAAATAGCGTGTGCGGTAGCTTCACCTTAGCATGTGTTCTTTGCAGGTGTGTGTTGAGGTTTGACCACGTGGTGTTTCCGGCAGTGGAGAACAGCTTCTGGACACAGTTTGCACCTCACCGTCACATTCCTGTCTATTCTTCGGACGGACTCAAAATAATGGGCATACCTCCACCCCTCGAGAGTTATCGCTGACTCAGCCATGTTTATGCAGCACTGCACGTGGAGATGTGGACGCGCAGATTACGTACATATAAACCTACAAAGTACTGATATTATAGTAAATAAAAAAAGTATTATTTTTGTGTAGTTGTATATTGCAATAATAACGTATGGTTGTCACAAAATCCCACGGCACACCCGGACTTGTCTCACGGCACACCAGTGTGCCGCGGCACACCGTTTGGGAACCACTGCTCTAAGGTACATTTAAAACAGATCAAAAATGTGCGATTAATTTGCGATTAATCGCGATTGATTATTTTTAATCGACTGACAGCCCTAGTTTTTACACTTCATGACTTCTGAACTGAATATGTTGCAGACACTTATACTGCGTATTATACGTACTCTGAAACCACATTTTAGGCGTATATTTAGTTCACTTTTTGTACTGTATATTAACTAGATATTGTGTATACTCTTACTGCATTATTAATAATAATATTAATAATAAATACAAATAAAATAGAACAATTATAAGACATTTAAATACATGTGGTTTATAATATATATATATATAATAATAATAAAAACAAATCATATTTTTTTCCAACTAATTAAGAATTCCTAGCCCGTTATTCGTTGGCTATTATTTGGAAAAGCTCCTTTAAAGTGAGTACATATTGTCAGTTAACAGCTCAGGAATGTGTGTGTGTGTGTGTGTGTGTGTGTGTGTGTGTGTGTGTGTGTGTGTGTGTGTGTGTGTGTGTGTGTGAGAAACAGCTGAGAGGGGGGGATGCCATTACATCATGCCAGCCCCCCTCTTCCTCCAACCTTCACCCCCTTATTTTCCACCCATATACATTTTTTCCAGTTTCACTTCCCTAAACTGCTCTATTTCTGTGTGTGTGTGTGTGTGTGTGTGTGTGTGTGTGTGTGTGTGTGTGTGTGTGTGTGTGTGTGTGTGTGTGTGAGAGTTCACTGCGGTCATCTGCACACACACACACACACACACACACACACACACACACACACACACACACACACACACACACACACACACACACAGATAGCAACATGAGCAGGCTTTACTGTGTTTGGAATTATTGTATTTTCACAATTTTTTCAGGATATAGTTTGGAACGTGTGTGTGTGTGTGTGTGTGTGGTACAGTATGTGGGCTGGCACTCAGTGGTCTGCTTCAGCACTTCACAGCCCATTAGTCCAGTCTGTCTCACTCAAACACACGCACGCACACACACGCACACACACACACACACACACACACACACACACACACACACACACACACACACTGCAGCTATCCCACTCATCCCAGTCATGTCCACCTGTTTCAGGGTGAGGCGGCGCCGCCAATCGGGGGAGGGATGTCCGTACAAGGATATTTTAGCCGGGCAGCGTCACACACTCACAATCTGTCAATCTAACTCACACACACACACACACACACACACACACACACACACACACACACACACACACACACATATCTCTCAGTCTGCAACACTGACAGGAACAACTATTAAAATTACAGACATATTTATTATGTTTGGAAACATTTTTTTTTTTTAATTAAGCAACTATTCCATTATTTCTTACAACAATTTTTTTCAGATACATTCTTGACATGTTTCTTTCATTTGTTAACATATTTTTGACATAATTTTGGGTCATTTTCAAGACGATTTGATTCTTATATTTTTACTAAGTTTTCTGACATATTTTATTCACTTTTAAAAATGTTGTTGATTCATTTACACATATGTTTTCTGATTTTTCCGAGGAGCTACATAAGGATCCATAATGTGTACAGTATGGTTATTAACTAATTACACACACACACACACACACACACACACACACACACACACACACACACACACACACACGCGTACACACACACACACACACACTTGCTTTAATCTCTACTCTACACACATCTGGTAAAAGTGTTTTGTTTTTAGCCTTTATTGATATGTAAGTCTATCTGATCAGACAGCGCCCCCTCGTGGTTGAAGTAGACTTGTTTTTTCATCCATTCAAAGTCACATTACGGGAAAGAAAAGCAGAAAACTTTCCCAATCTTTGATCAAAATGTCTGCAGATTGATAACCTTACCTCAGTATAGATGTTGATCACCTGACTGACGTCCTGCGTGTGTTGTTTTGTGCAGACGCTGCGTAAGAAAGGGTTAAACGGCTGCGACAGTCCGGACATCGAGGCGGACGACTCTGCAGGCCAGAGCCCAGAGAGCGACGACAAATACCGGAAGATCAACGAAGACATCGACCTGATGATCAACAGACAGAGGCTCTGCGTGAGTGCAATCAGTGTTAATCATCAAATGCACCACGCGTACACGACGACATCTGATGTTCCAGGACTCTGTGCAATCTGCCGTACAGCGTATATAACACTATTTAAAAACAGATATGAAATATTGATTCAAATCTAAGGATAAGAGTAAGAATAACATTCAAATACATTTAAAAATGAAAAAAAGGCATTGAAAAAAGACAACAAATTTACAAAGATTAATAATAATTGCACAGTTAAATATATATTTATATCTAACGCTCAAAGCGTCAGCGAGCATGAGGAAAACACTATTCAAATCTAATGTATTATTCATATTATTATTATATGACATTAACAGCTGTTTGCCCTAAAAAACACTAATTTAATGTGTCTTCACACACACACACACACACACACACACACACACACACACACACACACACACACACACACACACACACACACACACACACACACACACAGAGACACACACACACACACAGACAGACAGACACACACATACACACACACACACACACACACACACACACACACAGAGACACACACACACAGCCACACACACAGCCACACACACACACACACACACACACAGAGAGACACACACACACACACACACACAGACACACACACACACAGACACACACACAGACACACAGACACACACACACACAGACACACACACACACACACACACACACACACACACACACACACACACACACACACACACACACACACACAGATAATGTTTCAAAATGCCCACTGAGTCCTCTCTGATATTTCTTGGTGTTCACACTTTGGGAGCGTAGTGGATAAAAGCTGCTTCACCCATTTTACTTTGGGGGACTTTAGGGATACACAACTCTAACGTATTATTATATACATGACATTGCCATTTGTTTCCCTTTAGCAGGGTCTTCTCCCCTCTAACTACGACATGGGGGTCTCCGTCCAGGGGTCCTCCCCCCCCGGCCTGCTGTACCCCCCCCACCCATCTCTGAACTGCGGGTTAGGAAACCACAACCTGCTGCCCGTCTCTCACACACACACACATACACACACACACCTGCAGAGGAACAGCATGTCCCCGCAGCGGCCCCCCAGCGCCGGGAACACAGGTACGGAGATTTAAACATATTTAAAGCATCGATTAAAATGTGGAATCATTTATATTTTAACAGAGAAACAGATATAAGAATTCAGACTAATTTGTGTGTGTGTGTGTGTGTGTGTGTGTGTGTGTGTGTGTGTGTGTGTGTGTGTGTGTGTGTGTGTGTGTGTGTGTGTGTGTGTGTGTGTGTGTGTGTGTGTGTGTGTGTGTGTGTGTGTGTGTGTGTGTGTGTGTGTGTGTGTGTGTGTGTGTGTGTGTGTGTGTGTGTGTGTGTGTGTGTGTGTCTACAGGACTGATGAGTTCAGATATGACAAACACCGTGGTCTCCGGCGTGGGTAAGACTAGAATTTATTTATCTATTTCTTTAATTTAAATTAATACAACTTCTTATGTTTGTATGAATTAATATTTCTATTCTATTTTATTTTTTAATTGACATTTTATTTTAACTTCTCATGTTTACATAAATATATTTAATTTATTTTGTATTATTCAATATTTTTTTAATCAATACATTTATTCTATTTTCATATTTTTGTATATGAATATCATTTTTAAAGCATATATTTGTTCTAATGTATTTAATTATTTGTATTGGACATCTTTAACCTCTTATGTTTAAATGAATATATTTCTTCTTTTTCTATATTTCATCGGACATTTTACTTGAATATTATATTTATTATTTGTAATGATGTATTTCCTGTGTTCCTCCACAGCTAACGGCTACAGCTCTCAGGGCCTGAATAAGAACATGCACGATAAGAGCCCCCCCCACATGACCCTGAGCCGTAAACCTGACCTTCGAACCCTGATGCCCCCAAAGTGCAGCAACATGCCCTCCATCGTGAGTATATACAGTACTTTACTTCAGTATTTCAATGTTCTGCTACTGTGTACTTTTACTCCTCTACGGTTCAGAGGTACATGGTGTACTTCTACTCCACTACATGTATTTAATACCTTTAGTTACTTCACAGATCTGGATGAATGATGTGAAATCTAACCAAGTGTTAAATCAGACTTTAGTTCCACCTGGAGTAAATCCACCAGCTACCCTGCAGTATACAAAGTACTTCAGACTAGCTGCACCTTTACCAGCTTTGAGAACACTTTCATGATCAATCATTATAAAACACATCATATATATTATTCTGAAATGGACCAATCTGCACAACGACTACTTTTACTGTCTTTCACTATATTTTGATGAGAATACTTTTCTACTTTCACTTGAGGAACATTTTGAATGAGGACTTTTACTGTAACAGAGTATTCCTACACTCTGGTACTTCTACTTTTACTCAAATACAAGATCTGAGTACTTCTACTTTTACTACAAGATCTGAGTACTTCTACTTTTACTCAAGTACAAGACCTGAGTACTTCTACTTCTACTCAAGTACAAGGTCTGAGTACTTCTAATTTTACTCAAGTACAAGATCTGAGTACTTCTACTTTTACTCAAGTACAACATCTGAGTACTTTTACTTTTACTCAAGTACAACATCTGAGTACTTCTACTTTCACTCAAGTACAAGATCAGAGTACTTCTACTTTTACTCAAGAACAAGACCTGAGTACTTCTACTTTTACTCAAGTACAAGATCTGAGTACTTCTACTTTTACTTCAGAACAAGATCTGAGTACTTCTACTTTTACTCAAGCACAAGATCTGAGTACTTCTACTTTTACTCAAGCACAAGATCTGGGTACTTCTACTTTTACTCAAGAACAAGATCAGAGTACTTCTGATGCTGATACACACTCAAACCTGCATGTAGTTGTGAGGTAGTGAGTATAAGTACATGCAGTTGTATAAAGATGTGTTTGTCTCTTCAGAACCAGAGGGTAAACTCCCAGTCGGCTCAGTCTCTCTCCTCCCCCTCCGTCTCTCTCTCTGGACAGGTGATGGGGGGGTACCCCTCCTCCCTCTCCTCGCCGTACGGCACAGGTGAGCACTGCAGGAAAAACACAAAGTATTCACATTGTTCACCTCAATCAATTTCAATCTTTATTTAGGTGGAAATACTCCACCTTGCCTAATTCAAATAGGTATCAGCCAAATGTACTTTACTTTAAGTATTGTGAATTAAAATATAGTCAAAGTAAGAACATTAAAAGTCATATTTAGTTAAAGTACTTATATATGTTTGCCCAGAAAGTACTAATTGTGAAGTAAAAGGTAGTTAAGTCCTTAAAAAGTACAACTACTAAAATAAAAACTATTGCTTGTGCAGGAAAATGTATTTGAAGTTAAAATAGTAAATAATTGTTTTGCTTAATTCTATTTTATTTGACCATTTACATTTTAATGACTTTTTATCGCGTGATTAATCTTTACTCTTTCAATGGGTTCTTTTTTATATTTGCGGGCACACACTCTCAATTATACACACTGCTATTTGTGAGTCATTTAATCATTAAAATGGTATTTATATTTGATCATTTAAATCACTTGCAGAATTACAGATATGATGAATATTTACGTTTTATTCGCAGACTTAATATTAATGAATATTTACCTCTGAATGTATTGCAGTAGTTGCATGAAGTACCTTTAGACAGCACTTCTAGGATCTGATGGAAGGTATATTTGTGTATATTGTGTAACGTGAGTGTCTCCTCTGCCCTCAGAGTTCTCCCTCAGCAGCGACCTCTCCTCTCTCTCTGGGTTCGGGGGCTCTGGTCTGGGATCAGCCTGGCAGCAGCAGCAGATCCAGAACATGCAGCACTCTGCTCTGGGTCACATGGGGTGAGACGAGAGCCTGTCAAAATATAACAAAGTCTTTTCCGGACCAACCTCAGGTCCCGGGGCGACAGAGCCTTTTCTCCGTTGCTGCTCCTATGGAATTCACTTCCTCCCTCACCGCACCCCAACTAAACTCCCCTCTCTCCCGCAGGAACTTGTGTCAGACCTCCAACCTGAACCTCTCCTCTCACCCGAACCTCCACATTAAATCTGAGCCGGCCTCGCCCCCCCGGGACCGCATGCTGAGCGCTCTGATTGGAGGAGGAGGAGGGGGCGTGTCCTCGTACTCTCCGCCCGGCGACAGCGCCTCGTCGTGCGGAAGCTCGTTCGAAGGCAGCGAAGAACGAGAAGATCATCACGTTAACTTCCTGTTGCCCCCCCCCAACCCTGAGGAGCACCACAGCAGCCCTTCAGTGAAACGCATGAGGCTCAGTGAGGGGTGGGCCACATGAGGGGGGGGCAGGTAGTTAGAGTGACCAGGTGTCCGAATCTGAGTGGGACTCGATGCATTTTAATATATAATTTGTCCAACGTCAAAAACATTCAATTCAGACGATTTCCCGCATTTGATTGACAGCCGTTCGTCGAAAAACGTGGGTTTCTTTGTCTCGTTTCCAGCACTGTGAAGCAGGAAATGTTGTCGTAAAACTGCCATTCATCCAGAAAATGTCAGAAATGAAATCAGCATTCTCAATAACCCCCAAAAAACACTTCAAAACTGTCCAAATCGGACGTTTTTAACTGTTGAACTATAATGCTAATTGATGCTAATTGATGCTAATTGATGCCCAACATACCAGTGTATTTGCCAGCTTTGCTCAGGTTTTTGGGCTCAAAATTGCCCCTAAAGCTTTATAATCAACCCAAAATTCATCACAATCAGCCGACAAATAGTAAAAATATGGCCACCTTTTAGTTAAAACTACCATTAGTGATCCAGAAAATGTCAGAAATGTAATCAGCATCCTCAATAACCCCCAAAACCACTCTGAAAATGTCCAAATCAGCCGTTTCTAACTATTGTCAACATGAACTATAATGCACATTTAGGCCAATTGATGCAACTCATTCTCATTTTGCAAATTGCCCAACATATTAGTTTATCTGCCAGCTTTTTAGGGTTAAACAAAATGCAGTTTTGAGTCCCCTAAAACCTTTCAATCGGCCCAAAATCAGCCCACAAGAACCACAAAGATGTCTCTGGTTGGCACCTGGTCGCCCAGAGGGAAGGCCGTAACGTTACCTTATAGTGTTATTATTATTATATTCTTATGTACTGAGTGGGTGTGCTATATGTACGAGGGAGGGGGGGGGGGGGGGGGCTGTATTTACTGTAGCCGTACACCAGAGAGAAAACAGGAACATCTGGAGAGTCTTTATCAAACTGCTAAGATTTACACTCAAAGGTGAAGAATAAAAACGTTATCTTTAAAAAACCGTCCTTTTACTGCAAATATATAAACGACATGGAAGCATCTGATTGACTCTACACAGGCAACGTCTTGGTTAAAATCCTGACGTGATGCTCGTTTGATGTTATTTTATTATAATTAGGCGAAATGTCTCTAGTAGTGATGCTGGAACATTTTAATTTAGCAGTTTGATAAACATTCCTGCAGTTCTGAAGTGGGGAGAGTTTGTTGTGTACATGTATCGCTTGTTTTGTGTGTGTGTTCGGGTGGGGGGGGGGGGGGGGGGGGCGGCATAATGATGAGTAAATAACAAATATATTACATGCACATCTCGATATGTGCAACATGTATGCAAACTAACAAAGTGAAGAAGTCTGGTACTCTGAACGGTTTCATATCACGCATGAGCGGGAACGCCATGTTGCAGGTTCAACATATTTTAGCACATTTTAAATATGAAGAGGGAAAAGTGTGATGAAGAGGAGGAAGAGGAAGTAGAGGAAGATGAGGGAGCTGAAATGAGACTAAAGGTGGATGGTGACGGGGAGGTTTTAGTGTGAGCGGTAGAAAGGTTGCATAGAATAGAAGTTTCACTTGATGTGAACACGCTTCTCAGAGTTAGTGAGCTGTGGTAGAAAAACTAAATGTGATTTTGAAGTGAATTGCAATCCAGATGTGTGGAAGCAAAGAAGTGGACACAATGGCTAGATGTCCCACTGCTGAATACAAAACTAAAAACCCTCCTAACAACTGGACATAAAATAAACATTATGAGATTAATTATAAGAATGTAAGAGCTTAGTAAAAACATACTTGTATAATTTACACAGCTATTATTTAACTGTCAAAGTCAAATGTTTATTTAAATGCTTTGAATATAGCTACTTGTTATTCAAGTATTCAGTAGTGGTTTCACATTTCACAATTAGCCTTAATAAAAAAAGAAATCCTATTTTGTTGGGGCTTTATTTGCTTCCATACAAACAAAACCTGCGTTATTTTCCTATAAAACCAACAAACATCTGGCGTTTTATGTAAAAAATTCAAGATGAATCCAAACTTGAGTGAAACTTCACTCATGGCCTTGTTGTTATGCACAGAGAGAGCTAGCTGTTAGCTGTTAGCCGTTAGCCGCTAGCTTAGCCCTCCTAAAAGCCATATCCAACAGGACAGAGATGCTTTGCTGCACATAATTTATATAGTGTTATGTTTTTTTGAATTCTTTATTATATCAAATTGATATTCTTGGATGTCTGCAGCTCTATTTAATAAGATAACTTTAATATAAAAGTGTAAAAAGCAGATGGGCGCACGTTTCTTTAACATTCAGGGATTTAAAAAACCCTTTAAAGTTTAGATATTTTCAGACGTATTTGGAAAAATGACTTTGTGGTGGTTATTATATATGCAGTATTTACAGTGATGAGAAGTACTACAATCATTTACTTAAGTAAAAGGACAATAGCCTACATGTAGAAATACCCATTCAAAGTAAAATGTTGCGGTAAAAAGTGTATTTGTATCTGAAATGTAGTGGAGTAGGAGTACAAGTACCTCAAATGTATTTCCAAAGTACACGAATTGAGTAAAGGTATTTTAGTACATCCCACCTCTGTGTTTTTGTACATTTAAAAGGACTTTGTGGACATTTTGAATAGTTGTGCCTTGTATCTAAAACTGTCCCGCCACAATAAGAGCCGGAATAGTCTCATACACCCGCCACAATAAGAGTATATTTGATATCCATGATGTTTGTATTTAAAAGGAGACAGAGAGGACGCTGAGGGTTTGTTCACATTTGAATATTTTGGTTTTAAAACTGTATATTTGGAGCTTGGACCCTCGGCTGCAGTCTGTCTGTTTGCGCCCCATCTGCTGTCAATCCAGTAAATTAACAAAATAAAATAGAATCTGCTCTAGGTTGAAAAATCCAAAAAATAAAACGCTGCCGTTGAGTTACAAACTACACTGTGTGTTGAGAAGAGAGATGCTTCTCCTGCTTTTCTTTTCTCCGGGTCGTCAGGCCTCAGATGAACGAACCAAAGTGTGTGTGTGTGGTTTGATTATCTCCTGACTGCCTGGACCTCAAAAAGCCCCGATGAAATGATTTGTATTTGACGCATCCTCTTTACATGTGCTTCTAATAACCACAAGGTAAATATATTATACAGAGATTGTTAGTGGCATAAGCTGGCCTTTGTCGCCACTTGGAGACAATGTTTCTCAGAAAATAAGATCCTGTACAGCGACTCCCTCACTCAGAAATGTGCTAGTATTTGTATTTTGCAGAAAAAAATTACTGAAATAAAGCAGGCTCTGTTACAAAAGTCTCCGTGTGGTTTGTCATCATTGGTGCTTCATTTGGGGGTTTTCTTTTTGAAAAGGGTCGGCTGCACGAGGACATTTCCTAGAGAAAAAGTCATGGTAAGGTATGTCGAAACATTTGAAAGAAAGTTCAGTAGGTCGAAAAATATAAAAAAGTCATAGTAAGTCGAAGAAAATTGGAAAAAATGAATAGTATGTTGAAAAATAAGAAAAAAGTTGTATGTCGAAAAATATGAAAAAGTCATAGTTTATATCGTATGTAGAAACATTTGAAAAAAGTAATAGTATAGAGCAGGGGGGTCAAACTCAAATACACAGTGGGCCAACATTAAAAATGGGTACTAGTGGAGGGCCGGACTGGTTCAATGTTTATTGCAGAACTTATTGAAATGAACTTATTGCACATATTAAACCTGGAACTAACAAAGCTTCAATGATTGCCTATAAAAACAACATTAAATAATCAGTTGCATTCATTTCTTATGGCTCTATCTGCAGCTTCTCCAGAGTCATTTCTTATGAGTACATTTCCCCACAGGCCAACGACAGCTTCAACAAAACTATCCCCTCAGAGAGAAAACCAAACATGCCCTGTTGTCCTGAGAGAAAGTGCAGAAGGAAGCATCCATTGAACTCAGTGTGCTGCTCTGTGATGCTAGCTCAGATACTTGGCATCTCATCTTGGGTGCAAGGTCATCAATGTTTGGGCTCAGGCTCTGAGCGGAGGAGACCCTCAGGATGGAGGGAAGGTGTGCGTGCAATATACCGGAGGGCCAGATCTAATAGTGATTAGAAATTATCCTGCGGGCCGAAATTAAATCCACCACGGGCCTGATTTGGCCCCCGGGCCTTGAGTTTGACACATGTGTGGGTATAGTATGTTGGAACATTTGGAATAAGTAAAAAGAAAAACTCAAATAAACGCTAATATGAAAATGTAACATTTGAAACATCGAGGACTCCTCATGAACACATCCGTCAAGTCTTCTTCTTTGTCGAAGTATGTCGAAAAAAATGAAGAAAATTCATGTCAGAACATTTGAAATAAGTAGAAAGTAACTCATAGTATGTTGAAAAAATTGAAAAAAAGTTGTATGTCTAAACATTTGAAAAAAGGTCTGAGCATAGTATATCTAAAACTAAGAAAAAGTCATAATATAGTATGTCTAACAATATGAAAAAGTCATATTATAACATGTGAAAATAGAAGAGTTGTGAATCTGGACTCGTCAGTATTGATTTAACCCAGCTGCGGCTCTGTGTATTATAATGTGTATTTATTCAACACTCCTGCATCATGGTGTGTTTCTGCAGACTGCCTGCAGGGGGCGCCACTCGCTGACAATAACTCCTACATCTCCCTCATCCACACCGCGCTTCAGAAGCAGGATTCACATTCCTCCCTTCTCTTCAATCTCAGCTGTTTAATGTGAGATATTTAATTATTTAATTACACCCCATCGTGATGTGTAAACCCTGGATTTCTTCCAGAGGTTTTCAGATACAAACATCCCATAGTTCCTGCCTCCCAGCTTCCTCTGATATGAAGCTTGTTCACATCCAATACCATTACTTTGTAATGTACTATACTACAACTTTAAAAAACACAAGACATATACTATGACTTGTATCACATTGTTAAACTATCCTTTTCAACATAGCACACTAAAATTAATCATATGTTGTTACTTTAAGCCTCATTTTTGACAAACTACATCATGACTCTCTTTTTTCAACATTCTTCACTTTAACTCGTGCACATATTTCCCTGCAACCGAAGCTGAGAAGTTACCAAGGACACGCTGAGAGCTGGCCTGCAGAGTACTTCCATATCTGTGTGTGTGTGTGTGTGTGTGTGTGTGTGTGTGTGTGTGTGTGTGTGTGTGTGTGTGTGTGTGTGTGTGTGTGTGTGTGTGTGTGTGTGTGTGTGTGTGTGTGTGTGTGTGTGTGTGTGCATTTCTCTTCTGAAACTGAAACACACGTATGCAAACACCTCAACATGTGACTTCAGTAAATGTATCAAACACATAAAACCCTTTTCAGTGTGACGGGGATCATTCAAACACAGCTTTTCCTTTCTTTGCAACATGAGAAGGTCTTTTAGAAATGTGATGCCTATCTGTGAGTGTGAATGTGTTA